TAAATAATACCTTTCAGAATTTCATATACCGTATTTTTCGGACCATAAGACGCACTTTTCCCCCCCCAGAAGTGGGGGGAAAAAGTCCCTGCGTCTTATGGTCCAAATATAGCCTACACATATACTTTAAAAAAAAAGTTTTTTTACTTGCCTGGCTCTGTGTGGTCTCTGTGTGCTTGCCCGGCTCTAAAATGGTTCTAAATGCTGCTGTTTACTTTACAGGGTTGATTACATGTGTTTATGACTGTGATGTTGGGTTTTAATGCACATAAAATATTTTAGGACACTATTTGTTTCAGAATCTTTTTTTCTTCATTTCCCTTCTCTAAAAACTGGTGCGTCTTATGGTCCAGAGCGTCTTATGGTCCGAAAAATACGGTAATACTGGTTTGGTGGTGATGAACTCCTTTAGCTTTTCTTATCTGTGAAGGTCTTTATCTGCCCTTCAATTCTGAATGATAACTTTGCTGGATACAGTAATCTTGTTTGTAGGTTCTCGCTACTGACCTTATAACTGATTTTAAACTCTATATCCAGTCTCCTCCATCTTTTTCATTTGAGATTTCCTTGTCTCGGCATTTTCGCTGCTTCCCAGAGTTGGTAGGATGGCTGTGTTTGGTGTCCTATATGGCCTATATGACACTCAGTGGGTCAGCCTCCTCAGTTATCTGAGGTAGACACTCTTGGTGCTCCCCTTTGCAGACTGCGTGTACAGCCTTGTTGTAGCAAGTCCTTATTGTTGTTGGTATCCCTGGGAGGAAGTGACCTTCAAGCCAACTGGATGTGGGTATCAGCTGTGTCTACTCTGGGATACCTTCTGTATTGGAGACAGTCTTATGGGATCAGACTTGCAAAATTGCAGAAGCCTCTGCATTCAGCTTGAATGAGGCGGAGTCTCAGGGCTGAGCTGACACTCTTGGCTTCCAGTCTGCCCCGCCCTTGTGGGCTCACCTGAGTTTCCGCCTGACCTCTGCCTTCTGCAGCTCCCCTGAGTTTCCGCCTGACCATCCCAGCTTCCCTGAGCAAGAGTGTGGGTGCCCCAGGGGCTCGCCCGGATTTGGTTGGGTCTCTGTAGTCTGGAGCTTCTGACTCCTTCCGCTATGGAGAGGCTGCGCCCGCGGCAACCTCCGAGGTCAGACCTCTCTGCGCTCCCTTACTAGCGCAGGACTGTAGACCCTGCCCGCTGCGGCTCCCGGCTCCCCCAAGTCTCCCAGTCTCTGAGTCTCTGGGTGCCTTTCTCTACAGGCCAGACTCTACCGGTATGAGCCTGGGTCCACGGGGGTTTCGGTCGGGGTTGGGGTTCAGTACAGTCAGAAGGGGTTCAGTGAAATCGGGAATTCCTTTCCCCTCCTGCCACACTTCCTCTCTGCACGCTAGTGTCTCCCTACCTCAGAGCTTTGGGCTCCCAATCCGACCCGTGAGCCTCTCTCCTTCTTCCTAGTTGTATATTTCCCACTCCGCCAGCTTTCCTTTATTTTTGGATGAATTCCGTTCTGATTTTAGTTTTTGTTTTTTAAATTATTGTGTGAGGTGGCAGCTTAGGTGCTTACCTAAGTCACCATCTTGGTTCTCCGCTCTTGGAAACTTTCTAGAAAATAAAGAAATGTGTTCACATAGGGTATGTCTAAGGTGGGAGCATAGAATATAAGGAAAATTTAAAGAATCAAGGGCTGCTGAAACCGGTTTGGCTCAGTGGTAAAGCGTCGGTCTGCGGACTGAAGGGTCCCAGGTTTGATTCTGGTCAGGGGCATGTATATTGGTTGCGGGCACATCCCCAGTAGGGGGTGTGCAGAAGGCAGCTGGTCGATGTTTCTCTCTCATTGACATTTCTAGCTCTTTATCCCTCTCTCCTCCTTTCTGTAAAAAATCAATAAAAAATATAATTTAAAAAAAGAATCAAGGGGCTGCCAAAACTGGTTTGGCTCAGTGGATGGAGCGTTGGCCTGTGGACTGAAAGGTCCCGGGTTCGATTCCGGTTAAGGGCATGTACCTTGGTTGCAGGCACATCCCCAGTAGGGGGTGTGCAAGAGGCAGCTGATCGATGATTCTCTCTCATTGATGTTTCTAACTCTCTATCCCTCTCTCTTCCTCTCTGTAAAATATCAATAAAATATATATATTTTTAAAATTTTAAAACAACATTCTAAATCAATCACAATCTCCATTTATAAACTTTTTTTTAAAATATATTTTATTGATTTTGTACAGAGAGGAAGGGAGAGAGATAGTTAGAAACATCGATGAGAGAGAGTCATCGATCAGCTGCCTCTTGCACACCCCCTACTGGGGATATGCCCGCAACCAAGGTACATGCCCTTGACCGGAATCGAACCTGGGACCCTTCAGTCCCCAAGCCGACGCTCTATCCATTGAGCCAAAACCGGTCTCGGCTATAAACTTTTTTATTTTATTTTTATTGATTTTTTACAGAGAGGAATTGAGAGACAGAGAGCTAGAAACGTCGATGAGAGAGAAACACCGACCAGCTGCCTCTTGCACACCTCCTAGTGGGGATGTGCCCGAAACCAACGTACATGCCCCTGACCAGAATCGAACCTAGGACCCTTCAGTCTGCAGATTGATGCTCTACCACTGAGCCAAACCGGTTTTGGCCACAATCTCCATTTAGATGATCTTCAAGCAGTGTGCCTTACAATATATGCAATATTCCATGGAAAAGAATATGTCAGTGAAACCCACGCAATACACAAGACCTCACAGGTATTTAAGGCAGTAACAACCCCATAATTTCAGACAAACACTAGGAATAAAACATGGTAGCATCAGCGATATGGAAGCAGAATCACATTAATATTTTCTTTTCAGTATGTCTCAAATAGTGTTAATAAAAAAATAGACAACACTATAAGTTATTATACTTATGAAAACATTGCTTCTTTTATTTACTTTTATTTTTTTAATATATTTTATTGATTTTTTACAGAGAGGAAAGGAGAGGGATAGAATTAGAAACATTGATGAGAGAGAAGCATCGATCAGCTGCCTCTTGCACACCTCCTACTGGGGATGTGCCCGCAACCCAGATACATGCCCTTGACCGGAATCGAACCCGGACCTTTCAGTCAGCAGGCTGACGCTCTATCCACTGAGCCAAACCAGTTTTGGCCATTGCTTCTTTTAATATATTCAAGCATACTAAAAATTATTTATGTTCATTTAAACATTGGGTTATTTTCTATACGTATTCTGATTTAGAATAATACCTGGAAAGTATTGACTATTCATTATTGTGAATTCTGTGATACTTTGAATTTTTTAAAAAATATATATTTTATTCATTTTGTACAGAGAGGAAGGGAGAGAGATAGAGAGTTAGAAACATCGATGAGAGAGTCATCAATCAGCTGCCTCTTGCACAACCCCTACTGGGGATATGCCCGCAACCAAGGTACATGCCCTTGACCTGAATCGAACCCGGGACCTTTCAGTCCCCAAGCCGACGCTCTATCCATTGAGCTAAACCGGTTTCGGCTGATACTTTGAATTTTAATTTAAAATATACTTTGGAAAATTTTTTAGGTTTTTGAGAAGCATTTCTTTTTAACAAAAGTCTTTTCTCCTAAATACAAAACAGAATTAAATGCAAATTGCAATCCCTGATAATGACTGAGAATGAAGGTCCAGCTATAGGACCTTTGATTTTACCTCTGCCAGGAATTTCAATGTGAGGAATAAATTATGAATGTGAAATAAAGACTTCTGGACATTGTTTACATTTCATGGTTTTTCCCCGAGTATGAATTCTGATCTCAAATACATTCATGTACTGAGTGAAACTTTGCCACATTCATTATATTTGCTGGACTTCACTCCAGCAATAATTATCTGATGTTGAGTAACATATAAATGAGAATACACACTTGGCACATGTGTAACAATTTATAAAGCTTAATTTGATCATGCTCAACAAAACTGGAACATTGGTTAAATATTTGGGCAAACTCTTTATATTTTTACTATTTCTATTTAGAATTATTCCATCCAATTACTAGTAAGTTTGAGTATAGGTTAAAAGCTTTGCCACATTCTCCTTTGGTAATGTTTCATACCATTATATTTTTTTTTGTTGAGTGAGAAACCACTCCTGATTAAAGGCTTTGACAAACTTCTATATGTATAGGTCTTCTCTCCAGTACGAATTGTATTGTGTTGAGAAACACACCATTGATCATAAAAATGTACCTAATTCTTCACATTTGTAAGGCTGCTCTTCACAATGAATTATCTGATATCCAATAAGATAACACTAAGGATTTGCCATACTCCATACATGTGTAAGATTTCTCTCCACCATGAAGTCTCTCATGTACAGTAAATCCCGAATATCTTCAAAAGCTTTTCCACATTTTTCACATTCATAGGCTTCATCCAAGCATGAATTCTATGGCGTTGACGTTGAGTAAGTTCTCACTGCTAGTAAAGTACTAACAGCACTCCTTGTAACTGCAAGGAGTTATCAACCCTTTTATGTACAATAGGATGAGAACACTGTACATAAAGGCGTTGGCACATTCTCTACATTTATCAAGTTTCTAACCAGTGTGACCTTTCTGATGATTACTAAAGATTTTGTTTGTTTTTCAATATATTTCATTGATTTTTTTTATAGAGAGGAAGGGAGAGAGATAGCTAGAAACATCAATGAGACAGAAACATTGATCAGCTGCCTCCTGCACACCTCCCACTGGGGATGTGCCCCCAACCAATGTAAATGCCCTTGACTAGAATCAATCCCGGGACCTTTCAGTCCGCAGACTGACACTCTATCCACTGAGCCAAACCGGTTTTGGTTCATTACTAAGGTTTGATGATTTAATAAAGGCTTTGCCACACTGTCTACATTCAATATTAATCCTCTGAGGTACAATAAGGGATGAGGACTTGTTGAAAGCTTTGCCACTTTTTCTACATTCATAAGGCTTTTCCCCAGTATGAACTCTCTGATGTATAGTAAGGACTGAGGACCTGTTGAAGGCTTTGCCACATTCTCTACATTTATAAGGCTTCTCTCCAGTATGAAGTTTCTGATGTCGCTTAAGGTTTGAGGAGACACTGAATGCTTTGCCACATTCACCACATTTATAGGGCTTCTCTCCAGTATGCACTCTCTGATGATCAGTAAGGGATGATGATCTGTTAAAGGCTTTCCCACACTCTCTACATTTATAAGGCTTCTCTCCAGTATGAACTCTGTGATGTACGTTAAGGATTGAGGACCTGTTGAAGGCTTTGCCACATTCTCTACATTTATAAGGCTTCTCTCCAGAATGAAGTTTCTGATGTCGATTAAGGTGTGAGGAGTAACTGAAGACTTTGCCACATTCACTACATTTATAAGGCTTCTCTCCAGTGTGAACTCTCTTATGATGAGCAAAGTTTGATGCACCACTGAAGGCTTTGCCACATTCTCCGCATCTATAAGGCTTCTCTCCAGTATGCACTGTCTGATGATCAGCAAAGTTTGATGACTTACTGAAGGTTTTGCCACATTCTCTACATTTAAATGGCCTCTCTCCAGTATGCACTCTCTGATGATAAGCAAAGTTTGATGCCTTTCTGAAGGTTCTGCCACATTCTCTACATTTATAGGGATTCTCTCCAGTATGCACTCTCTGATGAATAGTAAGTGCTGAAGCCGTAGTGTAGGCTTTGCCACATTTTGCACATTTATAGGGCTTATCTACAATATGCACTTTCTTATGATGAGCAAAGTTTGATGCAGCACTGAAGGCTTTGCCACATTCTCTACATTTATAAGACTTCTCTCCAGTATGAAGTTTCTGATGTCGATTAAGGTGTGAGGAGTCACTGAAGACTTTGCCACATTCATCACATTTATAGGGCTTCTCTCCAGTATGTACTCTCTGATGATAAACAAAGCTTGATGCAGGACTGAAGTCTTTGCCACATTCTCCGCATTTATAGGTCTTCTCTCCAGTATGAACTCTCTGATGAATAGTAAGTGCTGATGCCGTAGTGCAGGCTTTGCCACATTCTTTACATTTATAAGGCTTCTCTCCATTATGAACTCTCTGATGCTGAATAAGGATTGAGGACCTCGTGAAGACTTTGCCACACTTTCCACATTTATAAAGCTTCTCTCCGGTATGAATTCTCTCACGTTCACGAATACTTGAAAGGAAATTAATTGTTTTACCACATTCTTTACATTTATGTTTTTCTCCAGTTCGGATTTTCTGAAGTTTATTTAGATTGAGTATTTGACTGAAGAGTCTCCAACACAAATTAAATTTGTAAGCTTTCTCTCTGGTATGAATATTATCTCGTTCAGTATGATTTGAAGATTGTTCCAAAGGTTTGTCACATTTTCTTCGTTTGTTTGTTTTTGCCACAGAATGAATAAACTGAAATATACTTTGATTTGACATTTGGTCAAAGACTTTTCCATCTTTATAATGGTTCTCTGGAAGTTGAATTTTCTGATGTATATTAGAATTTGATTCTTGGTTAAAATTTTTCCAGTGCTCCTTGCATTGGTAACTTCTGTCTTCATTGCATGTATTCTGGTAATCATTGATAATGGAAAGGCCTTTAGTGACAGCTATAATTTCATTAAACATGTACTCTTTCAAATATACACCATCATGTTTTCATAGTGATAACTATGAAAACATGATAGTGTATAGAAACAACAACAACACTCCTTCCATGCTGGTGTGACTCAGGGGTTGAGCAACAAACCATGAATCGGGAGGTTACAGTTTGATTCTTGGTCAGGGCACATGCCTGAGCTATAGCCTTGATCCCCAGTGGGTAGTGAGCAACAGGCAACCAGCCAGTCAATGATTCTCTCTCATCATTGATATTTCTCTCTCTCTCTCTTTCTTCTCCTGTACTCTCAAATTGATAATCTCCCTCTCTCTCTCTCTCTCTCTCTCTCTCTCTCTCTCTCTCTCTCTCTCTATATATATATATATATATATATGTGTGTGTGTGTGTGTGTGTGTGTGTGTGGTTTTTTTTAATATATTCTACTGATTTTTTTACAGAGAGGAAGGAAGGAGGTTAGAGAGTCAGAAGCATTGATGAGAGAGAAACTTCAAACAGGTGTCTCCTGCACACTTCCTACTGGGGATATGCCCTTGACTAGAATTGAACCTGGGACCTTTCATCCGGCAGACTGACGCTCAATCCACTGATCCAAACCGGTCAGGGCGATAAAGACATATTTTAAAAACATTCCTAAGTTTATAAAAATTATAGATATTTGTATTAAAAATATTATTTTTCAATAGAAGTATAATGATACCTTAAGACAGAATTTAACAAACTAACTGCATTTAAATTTTGTATATGCATTATAAATTACTATATTCTAGAAATGGCTGGAAATTTAATCCCACACTACACTGTAATAATTTTTATATTTTTGCATTGATTACGTAAATGCATAGATTTTCAGTATTTTCATGCCTACAATGTATAATATTAAAAACATTTATTTGGTCTTCACATTTAGAAACACATTAGTTTAAAATATAATTAATTTAAATTGGGAGTATTACCAAATGTGTAATACCTTTGACCTCATTAAGTGACAATGATTTTATTAACTGTATCAGGTTACTTCTGTCCATGTTAAAATACTTTTTTCTCATCTTACATGCCTCCTCAAATTCCAAGGCTTTCATTAAATGTACATTATCAAAGTCATACCTTCCGTATCTTACCAGTAATATTTTAGGGAATAAATCTCTTATTTTTGGCTTTTGCAAAATGGCCTGGTTGTCTTCCGATAAGAAAGCTGAAAGATATGAAATAAAGTTTCACAGTTGTGACACCCAGGGAAATGTACACTGAACTTACCAGCAATTACTGACCAAATGACATTTCTGAAGTAAGTTAAATGCTCGCAGATAGACTAAAAAGGTACAATGAGGAAAAGTCAGATCAAAGTGGGTTAAAAAAATGCTTACATTTGCCACCAATACTTGAAAACACCTTGGCAAACAGTGGCAGTATTACTAGAAAACTCCCATTTCCCAGTTTTTTCTCTGAGGAGATAAACATGAGGGAACTGTGTGTGTTCAATGATCTTGTGTTTTTGCAGCATCTTGAAGAACATGTTTCTGTTTTGTATGATACAGATTGCTAAACTAATGGCATTACTGGTACATGGTGAATGGATTATAATGGCTGCTAAAGAGAAAAAGTGGGTGCCTGGAACACATGGTTCAGTGGATGTGCATGAACCTATGAACCAGGGTGTCACAGTTTGATTCCTGGTCAGGGCACGTTATGGGTTCAATCCTCAGTGTGGGGTATGCAGGAGGCAGCTGATCAATAATTCTCTCTCTGGAGGACATATGTAATAATATTAACAATAAAGAATTATTAAAAATAAATTATAATTCTCTCATCATTGATGTTTCTATTTCTTTTCCCCTCTCCCTTCCTCTCTGAAATCAATTAAAAATATTTAAGAAATAAAAGAAGTTATTCAAACACTACAGAAACTTCAATAATGAAGACAGTTATCAAGAACAAAAAGAAATTTTGGGTTGTGGGAAGAAATAGAAAATTATTTAATCTTGGAACTTACACACATTCTGACCCCGAACAATTTTGACAGAAATCAGAATTTCTTTTTTTTATATATTTTATTGACTTTCTATAGAGAGGAAGGGAGAGATAGAGAACTAGAAATGTCAATGAGAGAGAAACATCGACCAACTGCCTCTTGCACACCCCCTACCGGAACCAATGTACATGCCCTTAACCAGAATCGAACCTGGGACCTTTCAGTCCGTAGACCGATGCTCTACCACTGAGCTAAACCGGCCTCGGCAGAAATCAGAATTTCTATCACAGGTGATTCTTACTTATTTTCTCTTACGAAAAGCAAGTTCAGCCGAAACTGGTTTGGCTTAGTGGATAAAGCATTGGCCTGCTGATCAATGTTTCTCTCTCATCGATGTTTCTAACTCTATCACTCTCTATTTCTCTCCGTAACATAAAAAATAAATATAGCCAAAGCCAGTTTGGCTCAGTGGATAGAGCGTTGGTCTACGAACTGAAAGGTCTCAGGTTCAATTCCGGTCAAGGTCATGTACCTTGGTTGCGGGCACATCCCCGGTAGGGGGTGTGCAAGAGGCAGCTGGCCGATGTTTCTTTCTCATTGACCTTTCTAGCTCTCTATCTCTCTCCCGTTAAAAATCAATAAAATATATTTTAAATAAACAAATAAATAAATAAATAAGGAACTTAATGTTATACTAGTACACTTCAAATTTTTGAAAGCCAAATTCTTGGGGTTTTTTTTAATTGATTCTATTAAAATTGAAACTCCCAATTTATCAACTGAAACATTAAGGAGAAAAACAGTTATGTAGAACATGAGGGGGGAAAAGGAAGTCACAGGTGGGGAAAAATTTTTGTAAAAGACAACATGTACCAAAAATATTATGCAAAACATATAAAGAACTCTTCAGAATCTTCCTGGCCAAGTATGGCTCACTTGGTTCAGCATCTGTCATTCGCCAAACGTTACTGATTTGATTCCCAGTCAGGGCATGTGACCAGGTTGTGATCTTGATCACTTTAGGGGTTGTGCTGAAGGCAGCCAGAGGTTCACCACCAATTAGAGCCTGCTGATGGGGGAAGGGAGTAGAGGGGCCCAGAAGATTGGCCCCGAGAAAGGAGCCAGCCCTCAGCCTCCCTAGGTAAGAGGCTTCGTCCACTGTCACCCACCCCGTTTCCTGACTCAGCCTGGGGGCCTGCTGTCAAGAGGGAGGGACTGGGAGGTTGGCCAGCAGGCCCCATCGGTCATCTGAACCTGTGAACTGAGGACAGCTCCTGTGTTGAGGGTCTTCCCCCTGGTGGTCAGTGTGTGTCCTAGTGACTGGTCATTATGGACATTCTGTTGTAAAGGTAGCATAGGCTTTTATATGTATAGATGGAACTTGAGGGTTTTTAATATATTTCATTGACTTTTTACAGAGAGGAAGGGAGAAGGAAAGAGAGAGGGATAGAGTTAGAAACATCAATGAGAGAGAAACATCCATCAGTTGCTTCCTGCACACTCCCTACTGGGTATGTGCCTGCATCCAAGGTATATACTCCTGACTGGAATCGAACCTGGGACCCTTCAGTCCACAGGCTGGCGCTCTATCCAATGAGACAAACCATTCAGGGCAGAACACAAGTTTTGAAATAGAATTTCCTATTTCCAATCCAGTTTGTGCACTGGCAAGAAGACATGGTAGAATATTTGAATATTCTGGAAAATTATTTTCCAAATGTTTTCTGAAGGAACCTAAATTAGTCTAGACAAATAAAATTTTCAAACACTTATTTCCAAATTCACATATATAACAAAGCCTTTCTTTTCTAAACCAGAAAACCCTCATTTGTTCACTAAGAGTCAGAGTCAAAAAGTCTACCCTAGAAAACAGAAGCACCTAAAGATGGTATAAATAACAAAGCAAAATAATAATAATAATAACAACAACAACAACAACAAAGCAAACAAACCCTGTGGGTGATTAACAACTAGAAAAGGAAGTCATCCTCACCCAGAGAAGCCAGATTGCTGTAGTTCTCCAACATCACATCCAGGTACAATTTCTGCTGAGCTGGGTCCAGGCACTCCCACTCCTCCTGAGAAAAGTCTATGGCCACATCCCCGAAGGTCAACGGTTCCTGAAAGAAAAGACAAGTTTATTAAGAGGTCACCAGAAGAGGTCATAATGTCACCCAACATAAAAACAGTGTTAGGAGATAAAAAAGAAAAAAATGAAGGGGAAAAAAAAGCAACAAACAAAAATTAAAATCATGTTAGGAGGAGAAGTTTTAACCAAGGGGAATATCCTGAAACACTCAATATGATCACTTTGCCCAGTAACATTCTCTGATATGTTTTCTAACATTAACAAATGAGGATGACGCATGTCCCAAAATCCCCAGTATAGACTTTATTTCTCAGGAAAATAAACTTTAAAATTAGGGCATCGACATGGGCATATGGGTTTCCGAGGGCTTTCCATCGTTCAGGGTCTGTGGTTTGTGTTTCTCAGCTGGAGATATCATGCTGAGTTGGAAGCATGATTACTGCCTGAAGTTAACACAGTCAACCATGACTGCACGTTCCTAAAAATACAGGCTCTGATCCAGGTTCTGAGATGGGCCTGTGTTTCCACATGTGTAACAAGCTCACTTGTCACTTGTGATGCCAATGTTTCTGGTCCATTTGTCATACTTCTGAATATACAACAAAGAAAACACAGGAAAAAGTTCATACATAGCATTTAAGTGGAAGTATTTTTCAATGAGATTTATAGTTCTCATGGAACAGGACACATTGGAACCACAATCCTGTTTGAAATTTTACTATGAGTATTCTTAGAACAAGATTATTCTGCCTTTGATAGAATATTTTGTGAAACATATAATAAAAGGTAAACCTTTAATTTTATTCCAAACTGTATCTACAATTAAAAAACAAACAAGCACAGGTCAATACCCATAAAGAAAACTCATGAATATTCACAGCAGTTTCTGTAAGTGAAAAGAATAAAGACAGGTTAAGCAAGTAAGAAAATATAGCTCAAACAATGTTAACATTTTATGTGGAGACAGACACACTTATGAGAACTGACCTACAATTTAAAATGGGTAGAAAAGAGAATTGTCATGTCAATGAAATAAAGGTTATTTTGTGATTCCAAAAATTTCATGAACCTCCTTGTGAATTTTATTAGAAACTTTATTAGAAACACAATAAGGAGGTTAACTCATGTAATGAAATATGTTAGACCTATAAAATATCTTAGTCTCTCATTTATTTGGAAATTCTTGTGTGTCATTATTAGAGAGGAACAATCATAGAAATATAACTGAATTAAAGATACATTAATAATGTGATTTTTGCCCTGACTGTTTTGGCTCAGTGGATACAGCATTGGCCTGTAGTCTAAAAGGTCCCAAGTTTGATTCCGGTCAATGTCATGTACATTGGTTGCGGGCACATCCCCAGAAGGGTGTGTGCTGGAGGCAGCTGATAGACGTTTCTCTCTCATCGATGTTTCTAATTCTCTATTCCTCTCCCTTTCTCTCTGTAAAAAAAAAAAAAAAAAGTCAATAAAGTATATTTTGAAAAAATAATATGATTCTTCTAAACTTTGTAGACAATATAAAAAGTAATTATGTCGAGTATGTCCATGACTTGAGTATAGAATATAATGAAAATTTACAGCAAGAAGGCCTCACTAGTTGAAGCTCTCATATCAAGACAGTGATCTTGATTTTTTTTTTTTTTCAAAGCAAATAGAAGCTAAAAGAAAGAGTGGTCTTCTGGATGGTCTGGGCACATTTCTCAATAAATTCTATGATTTGGGGAGTATCTCAGCCAAGGGAGTATCACGTGAACTGGAACAATGGATACCAAGTGACTGAGGCAAGGAAAGGACATGTCATAGCAAAAATATGTAAGTAAATCATGATATGAAAATAGTCACAAATAAAGTAACTTGCAAATGTCAATCCAGGTGTAACTCTCATGTTCTGAAGCTAAAGGTACATTTAAATAGCAAGTCTTTCTGACTAATCTAGTGAGCAATCTCTTCTACTAATATTTACTCTTCTTTTCAGAACTTGCTGAGCTATTCTGAGCAGCGAGATGTGCATTTTTTTGCCCCTATTCTAGAGCTGATGCTGCAGCCACTTGAACCTAAAAGCTAAACATTTCCCTTCTTCATCGATACCCAGGCTTCTGGCCCCATCTTAGTTGGGATGTTAGACATGGCTGCCTTCCAGTGTTTTGGAAGGTAAAAGTCATCAATTGAAGGTGGAAAATCTTGACCTAGCAGAGCCTGCATAACATGAATGCAGAGAAGACTCTGGGCCAAAGGACAAAACTATATAAACTGCTGACCTTGACTTTCACAAGAAAAACAGTAATTAAATAAGGAAAAAAAACATGAATAGCACCAACATCAGAAGTGGCAGGTTCTAAATCCACAGATGTCAGAGGCAAAGGAAACACAGTCTGGGGCCCAGGACACATCGTTTACCTGAGAAGCAGCCATTGGTCCTGGTGCTGATCGGGGTCTGAGTTGTCTCCTCAGGTGACAGTGTGTTGAGGAGTCACAGAATGGGCCTTCAAAGACATCAGCACAGCATCTCAATCAGCTTCCCTCACCTCACCGTCAGAAGGACCTGGAAATGAGGAAAAGTCCAGCCCTCCTGTCCTCGGTCACAGGAGAGCCAGGAACAATGAGCTCCCACATGGAGCCACACTGTGAGTTTTTCGGTGTCTTCATGTGTCTCTCCTCCCAGAGACCTCCACAAACTCCTACAGAAATGAGAACGTGAGCTGCTGTCCTGACCCCCAAACCAAACAGAGCACCCCCTTACCTCCCTGAACAAAGCCTGCTCCCACTCTCACAAAAGCGTCCTACAACTCTCCTGCTAATCCTGTCCCCACCTTCCAATGACCCGGGGCACCTCAGTGACCAATGATGCCCCAGCCAGGGCGGCTGTCCTCCTCCGTGGGGGAAAGTGAACCTGAGGGCATTTATTTTCTTTTTTTATTTTTTAAAATATATTTTATTGATTTTTCACAGAGAGGAAGAGAGAGAGGAATAGAGAGTTAGAAACATCGATGAGAGAGAAACATCGACCAGCTGCCTCCTGCCCACCCCCTACCAGGGATGTGCCTGCAACCAAGGTACATGCCCTTGGCCGGAATCGAACCTGGGACCTTTCAGTCCACAAGACCACACTCTATCCACAGAGCCAAACCGGGTAGGGCCTGAGGGCATTTCTTACAGCTCCTCAGGGGATCTGAGAAGACCCACAGGATTTATCTCAAGATGTTCTTAAATAATAAATTAAGTGTCAGAGAGAGAAAATGTTAATCCATGGAAAAAACCAAACCCACACACACACCACTGAGCACAGCCACAAAGCTGAGGCTTCCAACATTCCTTGAAAAAGCATCAGGTGGTGACAGACACAGGTCACCTCCTCGTTGCCATCCAGGATGACAAGGGTCCCAGGAGCAACGGACAAGTCTCTCCCCTCTGAGTGAGTACGGGTTGCAATTGGAAGCAAATTATTATAAAATCCCCAAGCCTTACACACTGGAGATTTGTCACTCTCATTCAGACTTGTAAAAGGCAAGTCAGGTGTTAAATTCACTACAGAAAGCCGTGCTCGGGTGGCATGCTCCCCGCTGGGCTTGGACCTGAGAGTCAGGGCCAGCCTGACAGGTGAGCGGACTGAGGCAGGGAGGGAAGTGAGAGAAAAAAGACAGGAAAGCGGGACCGGAGGACGGCGGCAGCTTTATTCACTGCGCAGTGGCTTTTACACACAAACACGGAGTGGGAGGGCCGGGAATGGAATGACTCTCCGCTCCTCCCAATCCTGGAGATGAAGCAGGAAGCCAAATTCTCGGTAAATATTCACAGAATTCCGATGGGCCCCGGAAGGTCGCTCTCCTGCTGACAACAGAAAAGTGCCACCTCTTCCGGGGACACCGCGTTCTCCCGAGCCCAGCCCCTGGCACTGGCCCCTGGCACTCAGACCTGATTAATGGGGGGCCTGGGAAGGCGGGCGCAGACCCCCAGGCCGGGCCATCCGGGCTCTTTGGGCGGGAAGCGCCGGGCGGGGGAGGGCAAAGGGCGGGAACCACTGACCAGACCCCCAGCCCCGCGGGGGCCCCGGCGGCCCCGGGGACGGTTTTCGGCGGGAAAACCACCCGGCGGGCGGGCCCACAGCCACAGGCGGACAGACCGCGGGCCGGGCCTCAGTTTCCCCCAAAGGAACGCGGCGCCTCCGCTGCGCAGCCCCCCGGGACGCGCACTCACCGCCGGGAGGGGCTCCGGGCGGGGCTCCCACACGGACTTCAGCGCCCGCAGCGCCCTCAGCCCGCCCTGCGGGGAGGGGCCGGGAGCAGCGGCTTTAAAGCACAGACACCGCCTCAGGGAGCCGCCACCGGCCCCTCCGCAGCCGCTTCCGGCTGCCAGGACTGCGCATGCGCCTCCCTGCGGGGGGCGGGGCCTGAGCGGAGCGGCTCCGCGGTGGGGGCGGGGCCAGGCCTGTGCGGGGCCAGAGGGAGGGGGCGGGGCGGAGCCAGGGGGCGGCCAGGACTTTGTTTTTGGAATGAGGAAACTGTCTTCGCGAAAAGCATTTTTACAGAAGCAAAATTGAGCAACTTAATTATGTAAGTATCTACGAATCACTGCATCAACAGAAACACATTATCTGGGACCACCAGGGCAATTTAGAATAATTGTGCTGTCTAGATTCTGGGATCACTGAGTCCTCACAGGAAAGCACTAACGGTAGCTACTGAGACAATTTAGGATAATTGTGCTGTTCTGATTCCTGGAAGGATGACCAGTGAGATCACAATCAATGGGACATTTAAACCACCGTCAATAGAGTATTGGCATAGCATAGGTAAGTTCAGAAAATCAAAATAACTTTATATCGTTTTAGCAAAGAAATAAGTACTGAACCCAAACCACAGTTTCTACCTGAGATGATTGCTACCATACTTCATTCCCCACTAGTTTTATGTGCATGAGCCAAATCATGGACTCATCCTTATTAGTTAGGGGATTGTACTGCCCCCTAACTTCAAGTAGTTTGATTGCATTAATTTTTCTAAACTACTTTCTTGGCACAGTTTTCTTTTTACTCACCCCACTTCTTTCTTTATACACACACACACACACACACACACACATACATATAATTTATTTTAAAAATATATTTTAATGATTTTTTTACAGAGAGGAAAGGAGAGGGGTAGAGAGCTAGAAAAATTGATGAAAGAGAACCATCGACCAGCTGCCTCTGCACACCCCCTACTAGGGATGTGCCCGCAACCAAGGTACATGCCCTTAACCTTCCCTTGCCCAGGCCTTTGATATCTGAGCCCCACTAAATCGAGATTCCATCAAAGACACCGCGTTCCCTGACACTCACCTATCACTCCAATCCTTTTTCTTTTCTTTTCTTTTTTCAAAACACTCAATAACTTAATTTGCATTTGGCTGGTTTCCCAGGTAGGGGAGGGAGAGCCAGGGGAGGGAGGGAAAGCAGGGGGAGGAGAAGGGCTGGCAGCAGCCTGGGCTCCATGCGCCCTCTGGTGGGCCTCAGAAGCCATGGCCATAATTGTAGCCAAACCAGCGAGGGCACATTCCAGTTCTCAGTCACTGAGAACCAACAGGCCGACAGCAAACCCTGCCGTTCGCATTGTCCATCATGTACGTCTTCATACGCTGATAACCTTGACCGCCGCCGGGAGGATCTCTACAGCCAAGATTCCCTGGTGACGGAACCCAAAGTCCCCAAAGAGCCCTCCTCTCGCCTCGGAGGCGCCCCCGTCCGCAGCCCCGCGCAGACCCACCTGATGCTGAGCTCCTCAAGACCCCACGGCGGCGGCCTAAGGCTCAGCTCCCTTCCACCACCATTCGCTCCGTGCCCCGCCCCTCTCTCTCTGTTGCTAGGGACGCTTCTGAGAGTCACGTTCTGGCCGTGGGCGTGGCTCTGTGACGCAGCAACGTGGCCACGCCCACCTCCTTCTGATCCAGTCCCCCAAGCGGTCCATCTCGATGGCATTCATTCGCCTTTCAGGGCAAAGCCAAGAGAATTTTACCTGGCTTTATTTTATTTTATTACTTTTTCAATTTTTATTATTTTTATCTGGCTTTATTTTATTTCATTACTTTTTCAATTTTATTTTTATTTTTATCTGGCTTTATTTTACTTTATTACTTTTTCAATTTTCATTTATTTTTACCTGGATTTTTATTTTATTTTATTACTTTTTCAATTTTTATTTATTTTTATCTGGCTTTATTTTATTTTATTACTTTTTCTTTTTAAAAAAATATATTTTATTGATTTTACACAGAGAGGAATTGAGAGGGACAGAGAGTTAGAAATGTCGATGAGAGAGAAACATCGACCAGCTGCCTCTTGCACACCCCCCACTGGGGATGTGCCCGCAACCAAGGTACATACCCTTGACCGGAATCAAACCTGGGACCCTTCATTCCGCAGGCCGACTCTCTATCCACTGAGCCAAACCGGTCCTGGCTTATTTTATTACTTTTTCTTTTTTTTTAAATATATTTTATTAATTTTTCACAGAAAGGAAAGGAAAGGGATAGATAGCTAGAAACATCGATGAGAGAGAATCATCGATCAGCTGCCTCCTGCACATCCCCCACTGGGGATGTGCCCACAACCAAGGTACATGCCCTTGACCGGATCGAACCCGGGACCTTTCAGTCCGCAGACCGACGCTCTACCACTGAGCCAAACCGGTTTCGACTACTTTTTCAATTTTTATTTATTTTTATCTGAGAATTTTGAAATCACCTTTTGGACTCCTGACAGCCTCCCCCCTTGGTCAGCAACACTGTGCTGAGTAAGTTTTCAGAGGCCGGAGCCGACGGAAAGCCAACGTGGAGCTGGTGTTATTTTATTCAGGCCCCCCTCTCCTCCTAGAAGAGATGATAGCGCCCGTGGGCATTGTGGTGGAGCACCATGGGGGCGGCCATCTTACCGTGCAGTTCCCACGAAACTGAGGTATTGAGGGTCCTGTGGAGGAGCAACGAAGCCGGTGGAACCCGAGATGTCAGAGACGTGGTCAAACTAGGAACAAGACTGGAGATATTGGTCCTAACTGGTGTGGCTCAGTGGACAGAGGTCAGCCTGCAGAGTGGGGGGGGGGTCCCAGGTTCAATTCTGGTGTGTGTGTCGGGGAGCATGTACCTTAATTGCAGGCACATCTCCAGTAGGGAGTGTGCAAGAGGCAGCTGGTTGATGTTTCTCTCTCATCGATGTTTTTTCTTTTTTAATATATTTTATTGATTTTTTACAGAGAGGAAGAGAGAGGGATAGGGAGTTAGAAACATCGATGAGCTGCCTCTTGCACATCCCCTACTGGGGATGTGCCTACAACCAATGCACATGCCCTTGACCGGAATCGAACCTGGGACCCTTCAGTCGCCAAGCCGACGCTCTATCCATTGAGCCAAACCGGTCTTGGCAATTGGTTGATTCTTGTATGTGCCCTGGCCTGAGATGGAACCTTGGCATATCCAGATGAGCCTCCAACCAACTGAACTACCTGACCAGAGCAGCAGCACTTTATAAAGTCTCGTAAAAGTTGCAAACAGCCATTCTTTGAAGCAATTTTCTCAGTCTGTTGAGATCTCGCTCCCAAACATATACTGTTTGGCTCAATTACATCTTTATAAAAATTTGTTGTATCCCAAATCAGTGAGCTGGACAAGACGCCTTAATGAGCCAATTAGTTAGGAGTCATCTTTTTCTTAATATACATTTTTATTGATTTTTTTTTTTTTACGGAGAGGAAGGGAGAGAGAGAGCCAGAAACATCTATGAGAGAGAAACATCCATCAGCTGCCTCCTGCACCCCCCCCCCCCCCAGGGGATGTGCCCACAACCAAGACTGGAATCAAACTTGGGGCTCTTGAGTCTCTCTATCTACTGAGCCAAACCAGATAGGGCAGTTAGGAGTTATCTTTATTGCGGGCAGGTTCACAGCAGATTATCTCTGTCAAGTTCCGAACACCCAAAGGAGGAAGCATTCTCTTTCTATATCTTTTTTAGGTCCTTGTGTAAGTTTAACCTTGAGTACATATCTAACAAGCACCTGTAACCTTGAGTATATATCATATTTATACAGACACCTGTAACCATATCTATACAGGCACCTGGCATCAATATCAGCTTATCAGTTAGACTGCTAGCTTGCAAGTTCAGACAATTAAGTTTATTGGGGGGGAGGGGGCAGTGAGAGAATGTTAATACATCACCAAATTAAATGGAAAGCTTTATCTTTTCTATTCAAACAAAAAATAAAGTTATTTTATTTATTTTTTATTTTTTTAAAATATATTTTATTGATTTTTTAGAGAGGGAGATAGAGAGCTAGAAACGTTGATGAGAGAGAAACATCGACCAGTTGCCTCTTGCACACCCCCTACCGGGGATGTGCCTGCAACCAATGTATATGCCCTTGCCCGGAATGGAACCTGGGTCCTTTCAGTCCGCAGACCGACACTCTACCACTGAGCCAAACCGGCTTTGGCAAATAAAGTTATTTTAGTCTAAAAATAACAGAGTTGACCTACAGAATAAGAGGCTAAGAATAACAGAGTAGTTCAAACAGCAGTTTTCCAAAGGAAGGGATGACTATGATTCAAAGTCTTTATAAATTTGCCAAGGCCGGTTTGGCTCAGTGGATAGAGCATCGGCCTGTGGACTGAAGGGTCCCAGGTTCAATTCCAGTCAAGGGGATGTACTTTTTAGTACAAGGTTTGTACCAAACCATGAAGCTAGAAGCTTCAAAGGCAGGGCCATATTCCCTCTGAAGCTTCTAGTTTGGTTCCCGGCACATCCCCAGTAGGGGGTGTGCAGGAGGCAGCTGATGGATGTTTCTCTCTCATGGGTGTTTCTAACAATCCCTCTCCCTTCCTCTCTGTAAAAAATCAATACAATATATATTTTTAAAAAGGAAAAAAAAAAAAGCTTCCAAATATAAGTGGGTCCTCACGACCCTAAACTTTTCTTAACACTGCCCCACATTACACAAAGGAAATTCAAATGCACCAGAACTCAGAGCATCCAGTTGAGCTGGGCAGATAGATCTGCAAACAGACGCTCTGGGGGCGGGGCGGAAGTGGACACGCCCCTTTCAGACCCAGTTTCTACATCCGCTTAACCCGGATGTCAAAGTGCTCCCCACTTTCGTTCTGCAGTCCAGGCCCCGCCCCTCGCCCCCTCCCAGCGCCGCGCCTGCGCAGTTTCCCCGCAGACCCGGAAGCCGATTCAGAGGCCTGGAGGTCACGTTCCGTCGGGGGTTCCTCCGGTGGAAACCTGGGCTCGGCGGCTCCCCGGTCCGCAGACCAGCACAGCCGGGCTTGGGGGGGTGGTGGCTACGGAAGTTTACATTCTCGCGCCCGCCGGTCCTTCCGGTGATGAGTCCGCGTTTGCCCGGGAGACGTTCGAATCCTGCGATCCGCCGGCGTCATTGGTTACCATCTCCGCTCCCCTCCTGCCTTCCTGCGGTGTGGAAGCCACCGGCCTCATGGTTTTCCTGCTACATTTTAGCAGCTAAAAGCCTATCAAGGACCCGCCTCACCATGTGGAGCCTTCACTCCAAATGCGGATTCTCCCCTCCCTCTCGGTGTGCCGCCCCTTGCGGGCTGGCCGCTTCCTCCCCCAGGTCCTGGGGTTCCCAGACCTCACCGGGTCCGAAGGCGCACACACCCTCTCTTCTCCTTTCTCTCCCTCCCCCCCATCATCACTCCTCTTGGGGGGGTTCGCCTGCCTCTCCTCTGCCCTCCCCGTCGCTCTGGGCGAGATGGCGGCTCCTTGTCCCAAGAAACTGCTGTTGTTGTTTTTTTCGGTTTTCAAAAATATATATTTTATTGATTTTTTTAATAGAGAAAGGGAGAAGGGCAAAGAGCCAGAAACATCGATGAGGGAGAGTCATTGATCAGCTGCCTCTACAACCAATGCACATGCCCTTGACCGGAATCAAACCTGGGACCCTTCAGTCCGCAGGCCGACGCTCTATCCATTGAGCCAAACCGGTTTCAGTGAAACACATCTTTTTTTTATGTCCTTCAATAAAATTTTATGGCTTCACACAAATCTGGAAATGCCTTGTAAGAGGTCACAGTATATACCTCCTGGGAATGCAAACTTTCTCTTTTTGTTTGTGTTGTGTGTGTGTTTTTATATGTTTTTATTGACTTTAGAGAGAGAGGAAGGGAGAGGGAGAGAGAAACATCAATCGACTGCCTCTGCATGCAGCCAGACCAAATACTGAACCTGCAGTCTGGGCATGCGCCCTTGACTGGGAATGGAACCGGAGAACTTTGGGTGCAAAGGCCGATGCTCAACCACACCTGCTGTTTTTTTATTGACTTCAGAAAGGAAGGGAAATAGAGAGAGGGAAACTTCAATGATGAGAGAGAATCATGGATCGGCTGCTCCGGCAGGCCCACCCTGGGGATCGAGTCCATAACCTGGGTTTGTGCCCCGACCTGGAATCAAACCGTGACCTCCCAGTTCATAGGTTGACACCACCACTGAGCCAATATAAGGAATAATGACTTCTATAACTTAATTAAATTAAGATACATGGCTCTGTAATAATAATATAAAAATTAAATGGCCCAGCTGGTGTGGCTCAGTGGTTGAGCATTGACTTATGAACCAGGAGGTCATGGTTACATTCCCAGTCAGGGCACAGGCCCGGGTTGCAGGCTCAATCCCCTGTGTGGGGTGTGCAGGAGGCAGGTTATAAATGATTCTCTCATCGGGGTTTCTATTTCTCCCTCTCTCTCCCTCTCTAAAATCAATAAAAATATAATTTAAAAAAATGAAATAAATAAAATCAATAAAAAATATACATTTTTTAATATATTTTATTGATTTATACAGAGAGGAAGGGAGAGAGATAGAGAGTTAGAAACATCGATGAGAGAGAGTCATCGATCAGCTGCCTCTTGCACACCCCCCACTGGGGATATGCCCGCAACCAAGGTACATGCCCTTGACCGGAATCGAACCCGGGACCCTTCAGTCCCCAAGCCGAGGCTCTATCCATTGAGCCAAACCGGTCCCGGCTAAAAATATATTTTTAAAATAATAATTAAAAAAAATAAAGATAGCCGAAACCGGTTTGGCTCAGTGAATAAGCGTTGTCCTGCCTGCGGACTGAAGGGCCCGGGTTCAATTCTGTACCTTGCTTGCGGGCACATGCCCAGTAGGGAGCATGCAAGAGGCAGCCGATGGATGACTCTCATCAATGTTACTAAATCTCTATCTGCCTTCCTCTCTGTAAAAAAAATCAATAAAATAAATTTTTTTAAAAACGGGTCATCTGGCCGGGACCGGTTTGGCTCAGTGGATAGAGCGTCGGCCTGCGGACTGAAAAGTCCCGGGTTCGATTCTGGTCAAGGGCATGTACTGTGGTTGCGGGCACATCCCCAGTAGGGGGTGTGCAAGAGGCAGCTGGTCGATGATTCTCTCTCATCGATGTTTCTAACTCTCTATCCCTCTCTCTTCCTCTCTGTGAAAAATCAATAAAAATATATTTTTTTAAAAAAGGGTCATCTGGATACACCAAGGTTTCTGGTTCAATCCACAGTCAGGGCACATACAAGAAACAGCCCTGAAGGCATAAATAAGTGGAACAACAAATCAATGTTTTTCTTTCACTTCCTCTGTCTCTAAAATCAATCAAATTTAAAAACAAACAAAACTATGAGAGCTAGGGGTGTGGACCTTGGTGCAATTGCAAACCTGTATAACTTTTTGTTAATTCTCACCTGAGTATATTTTTTCCATTGGATTTTTCAGAATGGAAGGGAGGGGGAGAAACATAGAGGTGAAAGAGACATTAGCCAGGGCATGGCTCAGTGGTTGAATCAGGAGAGCACAGGCCCAGGTTGCTGGCCTGATCCCTAGTGGAGTTGGGGCGGGGGGTGGGAGGTGCGGGGATGCAGGAGGCAGTCAATGAATGATTCTCATCATTGATGTTTCTATCTCTCATACATCAATTGGTTGCCTCCTGCACATACTCTTGACGGGGACTGGGGATTGAGCCTGAAACTGATGTATGTGCCCTTGACCGAAATCAAACCTGGGACCTTTCAGTGGTCTGGTCCATGTTCCAACCACTGTGCCAAATCAGCTAGGGCAAACCTACACATTTTTTAAAAAATATTTTAAAATATATATTTTTAAATACATGTTTATTGCCGAGGCTGGTTTGGCTCAGTGGTAGAGCGTCCGTCTGCGGACTGGGGGGGTCCTGGATTCGATTCCAGTCAAGGGCATGTACATTGGTTGCGGGCACATCCCCTGTAGGGGGTGTGCGGGAGGCAGCTGGTTGATGTTTCTCTCTCATTGACGTTTCTGGCTCTCTATCTCTCTCCCTTCCTCTCTGTATAAAATCAATAAAATATATTAAAAAAATAAAATAAAAAATACATGTTTATTGATTTCAGAGAGGAAGGGAGAGATAGAAACATCAATGATGAGAGAGACTCATCGATTGCCCCCCCACTGCATGCCTCCCACTGGGGATTGAGCCCGAAACCCAGGCATGTGTCCCTGACCGGAATCAAACCGGGGACCCTTCCGTCTGCAGGCTCATGCCCTATCCACTGAGCCAAGCCGGCTAGGGCTTGCTAGGAGAAATCTGAAGGTGGGCAGGGCTCCCAGCATTTGTAGCTTCTGCGGCTCTGTAATCCATTCTCTCCCTGCGCCATCCCAAATATCCTCGGGGCACGGGTCCTTATAGGGACAGCGCAAGGTGCCTTCTGAAGGCCCCCGGCTTCCAGCCCCAGGGGCTCGCCCTGTGCGAACTGCATTTCCCAGAAGTCTCTGCGACAGCGTTCCTTAGGGCCTCGGAGAGCGGCCCGCTGGGGAGGAGGCGAGCCGTTTCCATCTCCGCGGATCCCCGGACTCTGGACTACATTTCCCAGAGGCCCCCGAGGCGCGGCTTCGCTTAGGAGCGCTCCGCGTTGCATTCTGGGAGGCGCGTCCGCCGCGCACCGGTGTCTAGGCTCCGCTTCCCCGGATGGACGCCGTCGGGGTTAACCTCCGCCCCGGCGCCTCCTCCCGACGCCCCGGGGCGCAGTTGGGTCCCGAGCGGTAAGCGGTCCGCGTCCCGGGAGGACCCGGCGCGGGGTGCGAGGGGCGGGTGTCGGGGCGCGAAAGGCCCCGGGCGAGGAGGCCCCAAGCGCAGCCGCGGCCTGTGGTGCGGAGAGAAGTGCGCGCGCGCGCGAGTGTGTCAGTGTGAGTGTGTGTGTGTGTGTGTCTGTGTGTACGAGTGTCAGTGTGAGTGTGTGAGTGTGTGTGAGAGTGTGTGTATGAGTGTTAGTGTGAGTGTGTGAGTGTGTGTGTCTGTGTGTACGAGTGTCAGTGTGTGTGAGTGTGTGTGTGTATGAGTGTCAGTGAGTGTGTGTGTGTGTGTGTGAGTGTTGGTGTGTGTCAGTGTGTGTGTGAGTGTTGGTGTGTGTCAGTGTGTGTGTGAGCGTGTGTGTGTGTGTGTGTTGGTGTGTGTTAGTGTGTTGGTGTGTGTGTGTGTGTACGTGTACGAGTGTCAGTGTGAGTGAGAGAGTGTGTGTGTGAGTGTGTGTGTGTGTGTATGAGTGTCAGTGTGAGTGTGTGTGTCAGTGTGTGTTGGTGTGTGTCAGTGTGTGTGTGAGCGTGTGTGTGTGAGTGTGTGTTGGTGTGTGTGTCGGTGTGTGTTAGTGTGTTGGTGGGTGTGTGAGTGTGTGTGTATGAGTGTCAGTGTGAGTGTGTGAGAGAGTGTGTGTGTCAGTGTCAGTGTGAGTGTGTGTTGGTGTGTGTCAGTGTGTGTGTGAGCGTGTGTGTGTGAGTGTGTGTCGGTGTGTGTTAGTGTGTTGGTGTGTGTGTGTGTGTATGAGTGTCAGTGTGAGTGTGTGTGTTAGTGTTGGTGTGCTGGTGTGTGTCAGTGTGTTGGTGTGTGTCAGTGTGTGTCAGTGTCAGGGTCCCCGCCTGCGCGGTTGTGCAGGGGGAGACTCCGCCCGGTGCCAGCGCCTGCGCGTGGGCTCCCGGGGGTGGCAGGGCCCGAGGTGCGCCTTTCCCCCTCCACGGGAGGTCGGGGCCGGGCACGGGGACTGGGTGGGGGTGGGTGTGAGCTGGTTCTGAGGATCGGGTGCAGGTTTGGGCGCAGGATTGGGTGCGTGGCCACCGCTGAGTGAGGACCGCGCTGTGTGCGGCAGCGTGCCCCGGGGCGGGATGTCTGTGCGGCTCCTCCGCTGTCACCTTCCCGCCGCGCAGGGGGCCCCGTGGGAGGTCAGAGCCTGACCCTGTAATGAAAGTGACAGCAGGAGCCCTGACCGGTGTGGCTCAGTGGATAGAGCATCGGCCAGGTCCCAAGTTCGATTCCGATCAAGGGCATGTACCTCGGTTGCGGGCACATCCCCAGTGGGGGGGTTGCAGGAGGGATAGAGAGCTAGAAACATTGATGAGAGAGAAACATCCATCAGCTGCCTCCTGTACCCCCTCCCCACACACGCACACTGGGGATGTGCCTGCAGTCAAGGTACATGCCCTTGACTCAATCCGCAGGCCGACGCTCTATCCACTGAGCCAAACCGGTTAGGGTTTCTTACATACCCTTATATTGGCTGGGCTGCAAAAATACTGGTTGTGGTTCTGCAGCCCGCGGGTTTGACATGCTTGGGCCAAACCCAAGGTGTTGGTAAGGCTGCGTTCCTTTTCAGAGGCTCTAGGGGGCACTTTTCCCCTGCCTTTCCCAGCTCCAGAGGCTGCCTGCTTCCTGGAATTACAGCCCATTTCTCCGTCCTCTCCTGTCCCATCACACTGCCCCTGCTCTTCTCCCATCTTTCTCTCTCCTCTGACGCCCCTCTTCTGCTTTTGCGATGACATTGCACCCACCTGGATAATTCTGGATGATCTCCCTATTTAAGGTCAGCTGATAAGTGACTTTTAAGTCCAGTTGACACTTCTGGCAGCAGGACTGCATTAATCCCATTATAGGAGATAAAGCCTTCCTTTATTCCGTGCTGCCCCCTGGTGGTCAGCGCGTGTCATAGTGATTGATTGAACTCCCCATCTCCCTGTGGAACTCCTGAGGGGGCACTTTGCATATTAGCCTTTTTAAAATATTTATATATATATTTTTTTCTTCTTCTTCTTCCTTGGGATACATGCCAAAAAGGTACTAGAATTTTGAGCCAAAATCATACTTCTGTGATTAAGTGCCTGCGAGGAGCCTGACCCTGAGGTATGAGTGCTTACAATGATTGAAAGGGCATGGTTTCCTGTACTTGCTTACCACCCAGCAAGGAGGGGGGACTCTGACCGGAAGAAGCACATGGCAGCCTGCGGTCGAGGCCCCTGGTGTGTCCTGACAGGAGCAGGGCATCCCTCTCACGGTGGGCACTGACGTCAGGTCCCCCACGTTAATGAAATGTCTGACCAAACACAGCAGGCCATGTTTGGTTGATCATTTTGTATGGCCCAGGAATGATGTCATTGCTATCCAAATGGCCCGTGGCAGAAAAAGGTTCCCCACCCCTGCTCTGGATGGACTCCCATTGTCCTCCCCGTGGCCAAGAGGTATTCCAGCGAAAGGGACTCACCTGGTTCACCAGGGCTTCCTCACATCAGCACCACTAATTGACTTGATTAGAGAGAAATATAGACCTGATTGATTAGGTCAACTGGTACCCCATGACCCAAGTCGCCCATCCAAGTCACTTGGTCCTTCTGAGATGAGGAGCTCCCACCTAAGACTCTTGGGTAAGGCCAGCCCCGCCCAAGGAATGTTGGGTAAGGCCAGCCCCACCCTGAGAATGTTGGGTAAGGCCAGCCCCGCCCTGAGAATGTTGGGTAAGGCCAGCCCCACCCTGAGAATGTTGGGTATGGCCAGCCCCACCCTGGGAATGTTGGGTAAGGCCAGCCCCACCCTGAGAATGTTGGGTAAGGCCAGCCCCACCCTGGGAATGTTGGGTAAGGCCAGCCCCACCCTGGGAATGTTGGGTAAGGCCAGCCCCACCTTGAGAATGTTGAGTAAGACCAGCCCCACCATAAGAATGTTGGGTAAGGCCAATCCCACCCTAAGAGGCAGCATGGCCAGCTAATACCCCAAACAAAGACCTTCCTATCCAGTATGACACAGATTACCGTATTTTTCAGACCATAAGACGCACTTTTTTCCCCCCAGAAGGGGGGGGAAAAAGTCCCTGCGTCTTATGGTCCAAATATAGCCTACACATATACTTTAAAAAAAAAGTTTTTTTACTTGCCCAGCTCTGTGTGGTCTCTGTGTGCTTGCTCGGCTCTAAAATGATTCTAAATGCTGCTGTTTACTTTACAGGGTTGATTACATGTGTTTATGACTGTGATGTTGGGTTTTAATGCACATAAAATATTTTAGGACACTTTGTTTCAGAATCTTTTTTCTTCATTTCCCTTCTCTAAAAACTGGTGCGTCTTATGGTCTGAAAAATACGGTATATATTTTTAAAATGTCTGGGTTTGACTTCAAAGCAAAAAAATAACTAAAAATCCCTCTTTTCCGTCGTGTGCTGCTGGGTTTCCTGGAGTTTGAGGGAGAGCCTGTTTTCCCCCTCATCTTCTCCGGACCTGTGGTGTCTGTGTGCGGGTGTGGGGGAAGGAGCCAGGGTCCTTGCGAAGCAAAGATGGAGGAGCGGGAAGGTTGTGTGAGGTCACTCTGGGGGCGCAGGTGCGCTGACTCCATGCCTCTCTCCTGGCGCAGCTCCGCCCTCTCCATATTCCGTCTTCGGTGAAGGAAGCGCTTGGACAGCTCATCGGTTCCTGACTCTAAAGCTATGGCCCACGTAAGTGCGTGTTTCCCTCCCTCCTTGCAGGGTGCTATTTGGGTCCGTGGTGGTTTTTATGAATTATCCCCAAGCCTCCTGCCCAGGGAGCCCCGTCCAATGACCTGCTTCCGGTCCTCCCCATTCCCGTTAATGGTGATGTCACATAGCTCCTCGACCGCCTCGGGGCTCCGTTCACAGAGCATGGCGCTGATGCTTCAGGCCTCCCTGTGCTCGGTGTTTTGTCAGCGGGAATGAGGGGTGATGGAGGACGAAGGTCTCTGGAGAGAGATTTGTGCCGGGTCCATGGTGTGATTAGTTGGAGATGTTGGACCCATTTGTGCGCGGGAGAACACAGAAACCCTCCATTTCCAGGCGGAAGAGAAGGTGTGCATAGTGGCCTTGGCGTTTGTGTGGGGACAGCCCAAGCTCTGAGGCTGTGAGCACGGGGCAGGGCGGGGCTGAGCCGTGGACCAAGAGGGCACTTGTCTTGTTAAACAGACCTCGGTGTGCGTCTGCGTCATTGGCCACCAGCATCCTTTCGATCAGAAACAAGGGATTGGGCGGGCGGGGTCACGGGTCAGAGCCTCCAGTTCAGAGGAATAGTGATCACATGCTCCCAGAACTGCGGGGAAACGTGCAATCACTGTCATTCCGTCTAATCTGTCCATATGGTGGAATTTTAAAAATGTTTCCTGTCATTGCAAAGGATGACGGCTTAAAAAATAGCCTGGCAAACGAGGAACTTGAGGCTTGAAAACATTCGGACAGGCCCACCCTATTTCCGAAGATAAAGAGATCTCATGTTAACGTTTCCGAAACAAAGCCAGCGGAATTCTGTGAGGCAGGCGCGCGGCAGGCCGTGTGCGTGGGAACGGCAGGAAGCCGGACCGCCCTGTCCCTGCTCTCGGGCTGTGGTGCAGAGGGATTGCTCAGGGGCAGCCGGCTTTTCTCTGCAGCTACCCGGAGCGGTCTGCCTGTCACAGCCACGCCTCACTGTCCCCTCCCATCTCTGAGGCTCTCCAGACCCAATGTGTCTGCTCTGCCCAGAGCGTAGGCCTGCCTCTCCTCTCCTTCGTCCTGAAACTGCCCTTCTGCCTCCTCAGGGACACGTGGGCCCGTGTTCCCAGGGCCCCGTGACGTTCTCAGACGTGGCCATCGACTTCTCCCGGGAGGAGTGGGCCTGCCTGGACTCCGCGCAGCGGGACCTGTACTGGGACGTGATGCTGGAGAACTACAGCAACCTGGTCTCGCTGGGTGAGCTGCCCGAGTCACGTAGCTCACACTCTGCTCCCCGGGGTGTGAGTTTTAGGAGGGAGGTGCGCCCAGCTCCCTGTGTGACTCGGTGGTTGAGCATTACCCATGGACCAGGAGGTCACAGTTCGATTCCCAGTCAGGGTGCATGATCCCCAGTATGCAGAGGCAACAGGGCAGTGATTCTCTCATCATTCATCTATCTTTCTCTCTCTCTCTCTCTCTCTCTCTCTCTCTCTCTCTCTCTCTCTCTCTCTCTCTCTCTCTCTCCCCCTTTCCTTTCCTTTCCCTTCTCTTTCCTTCCTTCCTTCCTTCCTTCCTTCCTTCCTTCCTTCCTTCCTTCCTTCCTTCCTTCCTTCCTTCCTTCTTTTCTTCCTTTCTCTTCCTCTCTCTTCTTCTCTGAAATCAGTTTAAAAAAAAAAAATTAAAGAAATTATTTGAATCTTGTTCCTGTTCCCAGGGAGTGCTTGAGCTTCGCCCGGTTGGCAGTGACCATTACACCTTCCTCTTGTCAGCCCTCAGTGATCTTACCACCTTCGTCTGGCCCTTCCTGTGGCTCCCACTCTCTTCATGAGCAAAGGATGAGTTAGAATTCTGAAATATTTATTTCACAGCCATCTTCAAGAAAACCAAGCTTCACACTGTGTTGCTACGTTTATACCCAAATGGCCCGTGGTTCTTCGATTTCTCTATAGAGGTGGATGGACAAACAGAATTCACATAAAACCAAACTGAGCACCCTCCATTTCCCACACATTGTGCCTGACATGAGGTTGAAAGTTACAAATCTGTGACCTCTGAGTTAAACATCAGATGATAATATCTTGTCATTATCTCAGGAAATTAGAAAAACAACAACCATAATATGTATGGCTAATTTTTGAAATATACTTTTTTATTGATTTCAGAGGGCAAGGGAGAAGTTTTATTTCTACTAGAGAAGTTTTGGTTTGTAGTTGCTTTGTTTGTTTTGTTTTTCTTTTCTTTTTTTTAATATATTCTATTGATTTTTACACAGAGAGGAATTGGGAGGGACAGAGAGTTAGAAACGTCGATGAGAGAGAAACATCGACCAGCTGCCTCTTGCACACCCCCCACTGGGGATGCGCCCGCAACCAAGGTACATGCCCTTGACCGGAATCGAACCTGGGACCCTTCAGTCCGCAGGCCGACGCTCCATCCACTGAGCCAAACCGGTCCAGCTGTTTTGTTTTTCTTAAAAGGAAACAAAATGTGTTGTTTTTTTCCCCTCTAGATTTGGAGTCACCACATGAGACCAAGAACTTGCCTACAGAAAGGGGCATCTGTGAAATGCGTTTCTCCAGGTGGAACTCGGTCGGGAAAAGCAGGTCCCTCGGCCTGGACCGGGCGTGTGAAGGTGAGTTAGCAGGAGCGGGGGGCCCTCCGGGGGGGTGTCTCAGCCGAAGGAGGACCAGCCGCGCGGAAGCCCCTGCGGGGGAGGGGTCCTCGGTCAGGCCGCCCCCGAGGCCTCCGCGCAGGGAGAACGCCCACGCGTGCCCGGAGTGCGGCAAGGCCTTCAGCCGCGGCTACCAGCTGGCGCAGCACCGGAAGATCCACACGGGCGAGAAGCCCTACACGTGCAAGGAGTGCAAGAAGGCGTTCCGCTGGGGCAACCAGCTGACGCAGCACCGGAAGATCCACACCGGCGAGAAGCCGTACGCGTGTCCGGACTGCGGGAAGGCCTTCCGCTGGGGCTCCAGCCTCGTCATCCACCGGAGGATCCACACGGGCGAGAAGCCCTACGCCTGCCAGGCCTGTGGGAAGGCCTTCCGCCGCGGGGACGAGCTCGCGCAGCACCAGCGGCTGCACACGGGCGAGAAGGACTGCGCCTGCCCGGACTGCGGCAAGACCTTCAGCCGCGGCTACAAGCTCATCCAGCACCAGCGCCTGCACAGCGGCGAGAAGCCCTACGCCTGCCCGGACTGCGGCAAGGCCTTCGTCTGCGGCTCCAGCCTGGCCCAGCACAAGAGGGTCCACACGGGCGAGAAGCCCTACGCCTGCCGGGAGTGCGGGAAGGCCTTCACCCGCGTCAGCTACCTCGCGCAGCACCAGAAGATCCACACGGGCGAGAAGCCGCACGCGTGCGCGGCCTGCGGCAAGGCCTTCCGCTGGGGCTCCAGCCTCGTGAAGCACCAGAGGATCCACACCGGGGAGAAGCCCTACAGGTGCGCCGAGTGCGGCAAGGCCTTCAACTGCGGCTACCACCTGACCCAGCACGAGCGGATCCACACCGGCGAGACGCCCTACAGATGCAAGGAGTGCGGGAAGGCCTTCATCTACGGGTCCAGCCTGGTGAAACACGAGCGGATCCACACCGGAGAGAGGCCCTACGGGTGTGGGGAGTGCGGGAAAGCCTTCAGCCACGGCCACCAGCTCACGCAGCACCAGAAGGCGCACGGCGGTGCGGAGCCCGCGAGTGCGGGGCCGGCGGACGGGCGTGTGGCCACCCGCCCCATCACAGAGGACCGCGGGGGCGCCCCGCCGCGGGCAGGCCTCGCGAAGACCGAGAGCGTGCAGAGGCCTCCGAACAGCACGCGTCCTGCCACCGCGCGAGGCGAGTCTGTGACGCGATGTAACAGAAGGAAGCCTCCACCGGCCGCTCCTCTCCTTCCGGAACCTCAGGACAGTCACGCGAGAGGCAGGTTTGGAGACGGGAAGTCACTTTCCTCCGCGATTACAACACACTCAGTGTAGACAGCTTGTTCACTGGATGGGTTAGTGTAACGGACGCCTAGAGGGTTCCCAGTACCTTTTGATTTGATTTTAGACCCATTCTGGGGAATAACCGCTAATGTAACACGTGCAGCAGCAGCCTTTCCTCAAGGTACACACCCTGCCGGCTGTCACCCTCAGCCACCCCTTGACTCACTCCCTGTGCCGCGGGGGAAATGACCTTTAACCCCTGTGCATATCTGTGAAATCGGGACAGCCACCTGGCACTGCCAGGGGTCCAGCAGACGAGTCTGGTACGTGGAACTCCCCGCAAGTGTATCTGGAATGTGGTGCAAACTCAGTAAACACGCTGCACTTCTGTCGTCATTGCTGTCAGTGAATTATTGCAAGAAGGCCCGCTGTGGGGGTAACGAGTTTAGAAAAGATTATCAAGCTTCTACGCGAAAATACAGTTTTCACAGGCCTGGGCCCATGCTGTTTCTTTTCTTTTTTTCTTTTTTCTTTCTTTTTTTTTTTTATTAAGGTATTATATGTGTACATATCACTGACCCCCCCCCCCATACATGCCCTCCCTCCCCAGAGTTTTCCATGCTGATTCTTAGGACATAAAAGGTGCTAAACATAAAATAAGGTTCATAAGTTACCCTTCCTCACCTGACCTGCATGGCTCAGTGCTTGAGCGTCAACCTATGAACCAAGAGGTCACGGTTCCATTCCCGGTCAGGGCACAGGCCCGGGTTGTGGGCTCGATCCCCAGTGTGGGGCGCGCAGGAGGCAGCTAATCAATGAGTCTCTCATCATTGATGTTTTTCTCCCTCCCTCCCTTTCTGAAATCAGTAAAAATACATTTTAAATAAGTAAGTTGAACTTCCTCAAAAGGAACAAAGTTCTGTTCGTCGGTGGCACCGTGAGGAAGTGGAAGGCAAGAAGCAGAGTGGGAGGAGAGTGGACCTGGACCTGAAAATGTAAAGAATGCCCCAAGTCAGTAATGAACCGGCCCGGCCAGTCGCTCAGGTGGTCAGAGCCCCATTCTGACTCGCCCAGGTTGTGGGTTTAATCCCTGGTCAGGGCGCATACAGAAAGTAGCCATCGAGTGCACTGAGAGTGGAACTGTTGTGGGCGGGGGGGAGAGGGGGGGAAGGGGGTCCACGGCCCCAGGTGTCTGACCAGTGGGGTCAGACCACACGTGGGATCAGCAGCCTTGGTTCTTGGGTTCTCGGTAGGAAGGAATTCAGAGCCAAGACCCAAACTGTAAGGGAGCATTTGTTTGGTCAGTCAAAGAAATGGGCTGAGGAAAGGTGTTATGAGGGTAAAGGAAGGGCCCTTGGAGCTGGGGAGGGGAAGGGAGGAAGGGAAGGGGAAGGCGCAGGCTCCCGGGAGGGGAGCACACCTGGAGGGGAGCACGTGGAGTCCTCCAGCTGCGGGGTGTTAACGTGGAGATGTTGGGGGCGGGCCCAGAAGATCGCAATGGACTCCAGCTTTCCAGGCGTGTCCGTTCAGGGTTGTGGCTCTGCTGATTGACTGGTCGGCACCGGGCAGCGGGTCATCATTCCATGCGGCTGGTCCGACCTCAGCCGGGGCTGAAATACAACTGAGGCCTGGAGGTCATCTCTAGCTCGACCAGCAGTGACCCTGGGGACAAGGTCCCACCCCACCATGTCCTTTGCTGGGCCCCTGGGGCTTCCCCCATCAGTGACCTGCTCCTGGCCCATCTTCCTTGCTGTGCTCACGTCTGTCTAACTGCCTGTTACAGACTAACAGATCAGTATTTCTCTCGCTCTCATCAAATATTTTTACTTTTCATAAAAAAAGTATTAAATAACTATGGAACAAGAGAAGATCACCAGGTCACCAGTAAGTACATGAAATTGTGTTCAACTTCCTTTCCCATCCAGGAAATGCAGAGCAAACCTCCACGTCCCTAGATTAAGATGACCAGATGTCCCGCTTTTGGAGGGACAGTCCCGATTTTTAACTATTTGTCCTGCGTCCCAGGGCTCCCATGTGGTCTACATCAGGGTCAGGGTCCCATTTCAGTGAAAGCAGTTAGTCCCTGGGCCAGGCACTGGGTGCTGGGGTTGGGCTGGGGATCTGTGTCCACTGGAAAGAGGGAACATAACAGGAAACGCTGCCAGGACCACATGTCTGGACTCCGCACCAGTCCCCTAAGGGCTCTCCCATCTTCCCCAGTCTCCGCTTCTGTGGACCCCGGGCCAGTGGCAGCAGGAGGCCCCTCCTGCTTCTGGCGTCTGCCCTCCATACACCGGTGGGAGGGGGGTCAGGAGAAGGAATTGGAAAGTTCCTGTCGGGAGAGGGAGGAGAGCCACGGGGGACGGAGTGTGCGGAGGGAGGCGGGATGTGGGAGTCACAGAGATAAGAGGAAGCTGTGCAGACACGGGCAGTGCCAGGCAGGCCTCTGGACACGGGCGAGCAGCAGGGCCGCTGCCTGAGTGGCAGGTGGCACAAGGGGGCAGGGAAGTGGACATCACTCAGGACTCGGGCTAAGGAGCAACACCAAGTCAGAGGAACCTGAGACGGGAGGGAGGGAGAATGAGGAGGGGACGGGCAGGCAGAGGTGCCACAGGCGTGGCCTGGGGAGGGGTCCCAGGTTTCACACAAAACTTCCTGTTTGGCTCCGGATTCCTTTTTGTTTTCTTGTTCTTGCTGATCCTCTCCTGAGAACATGTTCCCATTGATTTTTAGAAAGAGTGGGGCAGGGAGAGACAAACATCGATGTGAGAAAGACATCCATTGTTGCATCCCATGCGCGCCTGGACCAGGGCCGGGGATGGACCTTCAAGGGAGGTATCTGCCCTTGACCAGTATCGAACCCAGAACCCTTCAGTCTGCAGGCCGACACTCTACCCACTGAGCCAAACCAGCTAAGGCCATACTTTCTCTTAAACATATGTAATTTCAGAAAGGGAGAGAAAGGAGAGGGATAGATATAGAAACATGGAGAATACTGGACCAGCTGCCTCCTGCACACCCTCTACTGAGGATGGATGCCACAACCCAGGCATAGGGAACTGAACTCAACCTCCCCGTTCATAGGTTGACACATAACTGAGTCACAGAACCCCGCCAAGCTGGCTCTGCTTTTTTTTTTTTTTAATATATTTTATTGACTTTGTACAGAGAGGAAGGGAAAGAGATAGAGAGTTAGAAACATCGATGAGAGAGCGTCATCGATCAGCTGCCTCTTGCACATCCCCTACTGGGGATATGCCGGCAACCAAGGTACATGCCCTTGACCGGAATCGAACCCGGGACCCTTCAGTCCCCAAGCCAACGCTCTATCCATTGAGCCAAACTGGTTTCGGCTGGCTCTGCTTTTTTAACTTGTTTTTTTATATATATATATTTTATTGATTTTTACACAGGAGTTGAGAGGGATAGAGAGTTAGAAATGTTGATGAGAGAGATACATTGACCAGCTGCCTCTTGCACACCCCCCAACTGGGGATGTGCCCCCAACCAAGGTACGTGCCCTTGACCGGAATCGAACCCGGGACCTTTCAGTCCGCAGGCCGACGCTCTGTCTACTAAGCTAAACCGGTTTCGGCTTAACTTGTTTTTATGTAGAGGCTGCACATAGTAGGTCTTGTCCCTTGTTTTTAGTAACTATTTAGGCTGCGTTTGGGCCTTATCATTTGTTACAGGAAGCACATCATTCTTTTTGCTGAATCACCCACACTGTAGGTTTGACAGGTCGTGTTTTTGTGTCAAGTAATTGTCCCTCGTCTTCTATGAGCCCATTAGTTGATCGTGATTCAACATGGAAAGTGTTTTGTGGGCAGTGTTCTGCGTGGCCTGCTACAGCGCCATGGAGCTGTTCCACACGGACTGCTAAGGATACGAATCCGGTGATGGCCCTTTCCCATCAAACGGCCGCCTGAAGATTCATTCCCCTTTAATTACCGTTTTCTAACCCTGTCATTTCATCAGGGCCCCTTCGTCTGTTAGTCCAACTCCTTTAAATCCACCTAACAACTCTGCAACTCCCTTTCTGGACCCTCGTCCCTCCAAGGGGTCCATCCTTCGCTCTACCGCAGTGTTTTGTTCCCACAATAATCCTCTGCTTTCTCACCACCTTCAACGCCCATAAACCTTAAAGTCAGGCTTCGCTTCTGTTCTGCAGTGACATCATCCTGTTGTCTTTCCAGTCTAACGTCTAGCTCCACCCAAAACTGTCACCAGTAACAAGCTCCCCACTTCTCACGCCCCACCCCTGCCTCTGGCACCGCTATTTTCCAGTGAAGAGCTCCCGTCCACTGGGTTGTCACTCTGAATGAGTCTTTTATCCCCAGTAATATGGGCCCTGGCCGGTGTGCATACAAGAAGCAAATGATCGCCGTTTCCCTCTCACATCAATATTTCTCTCTTCCTCTCCCTCTCTAATCAACCAAAAAATTAAAAGTAGCTGATGTGGTCAGTGGCCAGAGCATATAGCTGCCCATGGATCTATTCCCAGTCAAGGGCATGCACCTGGGTTTCAGGTTGGCTACCGGGTCCAGGTGGGGGCAAGTACAGGAGGCAATTATTCCTCACATCTATGGTCTCTCTCTCCCCCTCCGCCCCACTCTAGAAACCGGTGGAAAAAATATCCCCAGTGAGGAGTAACAACATAAAATATGAACTAAAAAAAGGGGGGTCTGGAAAATGGTCATTGACACGATGTTACATGTCAATTTTATCTCAATAAAGTTGGGGGGAAGTAAACGTGATCATTTATCTCTAACAGTATGAAATGAAAACCTACCTTGTCCAATATCAATACAGTTATGCCAGATCTATTTATATTTCTTATATTTATTTATTTTAATATATTTTATTGATTTTGTACAGAGAGGAAGGGAGAGAGATAGAGTTAGAAACATCGATGAGAGTCATCGATCAGCTGCCTCTTGCACGCCCCCTACTGGGGATATGCCTGCAACCAAGGTACATGCCCTTGACGGGAATCGAACCCAGGACCTTTCAGTCCCCAAGTTGACGCTCTCTCCATTGAGCCAAACCGGTTTCGGCAGATCTATTTACATTTTTAACTGGTATTAGAGATGATGAACAGGGGCAGAAAAACATCAATTGCTTCCCACACCTGCCCTGACCGGTTATCAAACTTGCCACCTTTTGGTCTACAAGACCTGTGGTCAGCAAACTGCGGCTCTCAGAGCCACATGTGGCTCTTTGGCCCCTTGAGTGTGGCTCTTCCACAAAATACCACGGCCTGAGCGAGTCTATTTGGAAGATGTGGTGTTAGAAGTTTTTAAAAAACATGGCTCTCAAAAGAAATTTCAATCGCTGTCCTGTTGACGTTTGGCTCTGTGGACTCATGAGTTTGCCGACCACTGGTCTAGACCACATG